TTTTATTTTCTTGTCACTGCACAACACAGCGACGAACTCTTTATGAAGAGAGGATAACAGTGTTTACGTTCTTCTCAACCTTTCTCTTTCTCCTTTGCGCCCAAAGGAGGAAACTAAAAGCAAAGAGGTGAGTGAACAGGAACATTAGCTTCAGTCGTAGCCGCAACAAAAGGTCCGACGCCATCGTCTGTTAAAACGTTTTTCCTGTATTCTGAGTGAAACGTGAAGAAAGATCAACGTGGCTCTAAAAGAAGAAAAATGACATTAAAAAGAAGAAGAGTGAACAAAACGTGTAGAATTAAGTTTGGTTTATTCGGTATCTGTCACATCAGACGTGTTCAGTGTCACAGATTCGTTTTGACTTGAGAAACGATACAAACGACTTTTTGTTTGCACGTGTGTTTGTTGGTCTTGCGACGAGCACGGGTCCAGAGAAGCGAACGATTCCACCTCGTGATTCGTTGCACGCTCGGTCTGCTGCCCTCGTTACAGCCAGCTGATTTGTCGATGACTCAAGACATTTCCCAGAATCCACTTCTAAGAATCGTTCCCATTTGCCAAAAACACTCGGCCTCTGGCAGAGGCAGCAGAGCTTGATTCAATTTCACAAACATTTATATATTTCTTTTTTTTTTCCCCAAGGATGAAGTTTTTCTTTTTGTTTCTGTTCTGATTTGAGTCTCTCTCGGTCAAACTGTTTGCTCGTCGTCGCCCTCACATTTGATTTTGATGTGAAAAAGGTGAAATCACTTGTCTGAGGTTTGACTCTGTTGTTTTTTTTCCTCACCAGTCGAAGGAGGAAGTGAACAAGGTTAGTTTGACCCTTTTTTCCTCTGTAGAGTTTTTCCCTCAGCTCCTGACTTTGTTCTCCTGTCAGCTGCAGACGTAGAAAATAAAACACGATATAAAAACCTGAGCAAACTCAACCAGCGATCCTAGTTAACGATCTCAACTTTATGGACATGCTGCTCGATACAAGTCTGGATTTGTGAGAAGTAAACAGCTTGAATTTCATAATATCTTTTTCTATTTGTCTATTTTTATTTGAGTGCAGTTCGTTTGTTTTCTCCGAGTGTTAAAACCAGAATATTAAAAGTGGTTTTGTCTCAATTAAAAATGGAGAGAATTTATAAATAACACTTTTCTTTTATAATCAGCCACTCAAATCACTTTACCCATTTACCCACATACACATACAGCACTTTCGGTCCCCTGTGATCCGTGGACACCGGGGATCAAACCGCCGGCGTTCTCCTTCGACCCGCTACACAAGCGTCTAATTAATTATTCAATCGGTTCCTCCAAATAATTCCAGTTGGGGATGATGTCAGCGTGCAGCGGTAACGCAGACTCATGATGTCAGCGTTCCCCTTTGTCCTGAAGAATCCCAATAAACCAGAGGCAATAAACAAAAAGCTTTTATTAAAATCGCCCACTCACCACGACCCAGTCCACCAGACAATATCACCAAACACAGCCCAAAATAACCAGGAGGCTGGCGCTGCTCTCACCTGCTGCGTGCCCTTCACTTACATCTAACCCTCGTCATAGTTTTTGTTTGTGTTCATCATCAGTGTCCTGCGTTGTGTCTTTTCCTTTTCTTTTTACTTTTGTGTCTTTTCTCCTGTTTTTTTTTTTTTTTCTTTCTGTCTTTCGGGGAAGACTGAAGCCACAGCTGCCACCAACAAGGTACATTTGACTGTGAGAGCGAGAGTAGAGAGTGAGAGTCTGTTACCGGTCGAGGACACTTCTGATTCCAGGCTGTTATTCTAGTGAACCTGTGTGTGTGTGTGTGTGTGTGTGTGTGTGTGTGTGTGTGTGTGTACACTCTTTTTCTCAGTCATTCACTTTCTTTCTCTTCCAAACTTCTTGAGGAGTCGAGAAATGAAAAGAGGATTTCAAACTTTTCTGAAGTTTCCATTTGAATTGATTCACATCTGGTTGTTTTACGCAGGAGATATTTTTTATTTGGAAACGTAATGAACTGAGCTGAACCTGCAGACGCTGTCGGTTCTGCACCAACACCATATTAAGAAATACTTAATAAATACTTAATCCACATCTGGAGGGAAATTGGCAAAATGTTTGTTAAAAATATATGCATTATAATTCAATATATATATAAATAAGTAGAATAAGACCATGTGGGAAAACAGTAATACAATGATTCACTATATGCAACAGGAGATTATTATTGTAAATTATATTATCAGGTCAAAGGTCAAGGTCGCTGTGACACTTTTGCCTCGTGAACACTCAGGACGTCCTCCAGGGAATCATTTGGTACAATCGTTCATTTGTTCTCACAGAGTAAGTGATTTAATTTGAGCGGTCGATCGATCATGGTCACAAAACGTGTGTTTGGCCTCTTGAACATTAAATCTCATGAATTTCTTCACATCTTCAGTTTTCACTTTGACTCAGATGAACTGAGTTCAGTGGTCAAAGGTCACGTTGTCCTCATACGAGTCTGTCAATGTGTTAATTTTTATATTTTGCCAAATACAATCTTCTATGTTTGGACTCTTCCATGTACTTTCATCCAAGAAGACATCAAGTGCACAGTCACCTTCAAACACCTATAAAGATGTTTGACTGCTCGACACTCACATAAACACAACTGAGCTTTTCAGTTTTTGGATTCAGACCAAGAACACACTTGTTCTAAAGACGCTGAGTGGATGGTCCAAGCGTTCACTTTACTCAATGCAACATTTTTCAATTAAAATCCAAGATACTAAAACACTGTCACTTGAAAGTCACAGCCGTCCTCTGGTCCAATTAAATCCTGTGGCGTTTTGCCCACCGTCCTCTATCTAATAACTCAGTCCCACATTTATCGATGGCACACTTTCTGCAAAGACTCTGCGATGTCTTATCCTGCGGTCGTCCGGTGTCTGTGTAACATGCGGAGCGCACTTGAGAGCCAGCATACTGATGAGGTCCAGCCAGGTTCATTCAAGGTCTGATAGCAGACTCCGCTCTTCACCGTGCAGACTGCTTAACGCTGGTGAATGGAAAAGGTTGTTGATTGTTGCTTGTTGATAAGAATTTAGTTTTAAAAACCACGTGCATCAGTTATTCTGACCGATTAGACCTTTGCTTAGTTTGCAGTTGGCACAGTGGCCGAGCGATTACATAAGATCCGAACACTCCCATGGGGAGGATGAAGGTTTCAGTTGTCTCGTCGTAAAAGTCTCATTAGGAGAGAGATGTGTTCAGACCTGGTCTGTACACGCCCCCGCGGTCCAGCCGAGACGTCCAATCAGGGAAAATAAAATGTGGCTCAGTCAGTGCGGAGCTGTCACAGAGCCGAGACTTATATTTACAAACTTTGTAAATAAGAAGCTGCACATTTCTATTTGTTCAGTCATCCTCTATGAACATGTGTTTTCTTCTGAAGTCTAAAAAGAACAGAACTGAAAACCAGAATGAAAAGTACAGACTCAGCGTGACGTCACCCGCTGGTTTGAAGCCTTGAGTTTGGCGTTTTCTCCAGCGCCATGATTTTAACCATATTTGGAGGAGCAGGGGAGGAGCCTGACTGAGAGCGTGAGGATAGTGCACACCCGCCTCCATCTGCCACCTGCTCCCATTGGATGCTACTAGCTGTCAATCACACGATATCCACGCCTCCAATGCCTACGCTGCTTTATGAGATGAACATGAAGTTCACTTCTATAGAAACCGACTGGAGTCGCCCTCTGTTGATCATTGGAGAGAATGCAGGTTTCAGGCACTTTCTCATTGTTTTCAATTTCACGAACCTGGAGTCTACGTCCATTCATAGTACGTAGCCGAGAGAAAATGTCAGGAGAGAAGTTTGCAGTCAAATGTTGGTTTGTGTCGCCTATAGAATTATTTCCAATGTGCAAAAATCACAATTACAGTAGTGTTGGAATATATTTGTATTTAATTGTTAACTTTGTTTATGGCTGAGCCCTGTCTGCTTTCCACCCAGGGCTAGAATCAAACATGACCTGAGTGACAGAGGTTACAATCCAGACATTGAAATTTAATCCCAGAGGCGAGACGACTCTCTGCCGGGCGTTTAGGCTCCAGGGTCCGTTTGTAGTGGCATCGAACATCTGCTTGATCTAAGTGGATCTGTGAAGCGGACTCTGACCACTGACGACCAAACGAGATAAATAAATATAGACGTTTTCTGTATCAGTTCTTCGGCTGCTTCCTCTTTAATTCCAGTTTAAAAATCAGCCAGAGCATCTTTTCTTTACATTTACTAAATGTCAACAAATTCAAATTCACCTTTCAACCATTGAGACGTCGAGTTGAGGAGAAAGAGCGACGGCCTCCTGCTGCAGACGACCTTTTCTTCACTCTCGAGTGTTTTTTATTTTCTGCTGGAGCTCCAGGAAGTGGTCTGCTCTTTTGAAACACTGCTGAATAGGTTTGAAGAGGCATGAATGAGCTCGTCGTGCTTCTCACCGTTACATCCACAGTCACGATCTTTGCAATCCACTCAGCATTTCTCTCCTGTTTACTGATCTGCACACGTTGGTCTTACAGCAGTGACACTGTGTCACCCGCTGACGCTGAGAAATGAGTCTGCAGGTGTTACACACTCTTACTCCTCTTGTCTCCGTCATTAGAAAGTATTCCTGCGCTCTGCGATATTTTAACACATCAAAAACCATTAAAATCTGGTTTGTGCACGTTCTCAAAAATCACCAAACCCACCGAGGCGAAACAGACGACAGGTTCGAATCGATCGCGGCTCCACAGTGGGAGTTTTTTGTGTGAAAGTTTTTGACTGAGAAAAGAAAAGATACTGAATCTGGCTTCAGAGGAGCAAGGAGGCAACAGACGCTGGAGCTGCAGCTCAGATGTGACATTTCAAATTTCCAGGTTTTGGCATCGGGTTGTTTGCTGTTCTGCATCACTGACTGTGAAGGCTGAAAATAACCAGTTATCTCCTCCTGTGTGTGTGTGTGTGTGTGTGTGTGTGTGTGTGTGTGTGTGTGTGTGTGTGTGTGTTGTAGATGGATACAGAGGCAGCTAACATCCTCAATGAGCTGCAGGTGAAGCTGAGCACCGTCCTGGACAACTTCAGCATCGTGTTTGCCAAGAGGTAGCAGACACACACACACACACACACA